TAAGAGGTGACGATTAACTTTTCTCCTACTCTTTTTTGAACACGCTGATTATTGGTAAGTAATTTGAAATTTTTACTTTTACATCCCTTTATTAGTTACATCTGTTAATGTCCGCCATTACGCATCATTTTCGTTGGTTTCCATACTTTTTTTTTTCTTTCTTTCTTCATTTCTCGTCGCTATTTTTTACTTTTTTAAATGAAATTTATGAAAGAAAAAATTTGATAAATGCATTTTTAACCGCAACTGATTGGTGGTAAGTTACTTACCAATTTTTCTGCCCGTCTTTAAGTGATTTTGGTATATTCTTCCGTTTTCTGATTGATGTAACACACGCTATAGTTTAAAAATTACTTTTCTCGTCTCTTTTTTTTTTTTATTATATTTTTTGTAATAAATTATTTTTAGCCAACTATCTCCTCTTTGTTTTTCAATGTTTAACCTTACTGCGCCTCTCTTCCTAATTTCCAAACAATACGTGACATCAAAAAAGCGTGATAAAGCCACGTGACGGTAAGCGGGAGAGACGGTCACGTGAACTTTCCATTGCTATTTTAAAATTTAATTTCGGTCGGTATCGAATTTTCGAAGAATATATTTTTTTATCTTTTATTATTTTGCGGATCGAAATTTTGACTCCTCTATGTTTTTTTTAAACTTCTGACCTAGTTTTTAAAGTGAAATTCTAGCGTTAAAAATGTCGCCTTTTCGTATTCTTTAACTCAAATATGTGTCCTGTGTGGCCAAAAAAAAAAAAAATACTTCTTTCTTTCTTTCTTTAAAACTTATATTTTCTTTGTTTAATATTACGAATAAACCCATTTCTTTTACAATTCTTTAGAGGATACAACTCTTTTAGTATGTAACAAAGTTGGCTAAAGAATTGCACCCGTAAAGAGGGCATCCCCTGCATATATTACTGTCAGTAGGGAAAAATGCAGTGATCAAAGGATCTTCCCCTGCCGGTCACGTGATCGGAACCGGTCCCGAAATCAAGCAATTTAGTCAGTTTTCGTCACTCGATCAATCTTCCAAAACGATGACTATGCATTAGTCAGTGCAGTAACTTTATTTTCGCTCTTTTTAATTACGATCCGTGCGAAAATCTCGACGTTTTAGAACTTATTTAAACAGTTTTTTTTTAAAGGTTCGCTGCTATCTAACTTGATTTATCTCCCGAATTCGTTTAATGCCCACCGCTACCCCCGTAGCAAAGAGCTGATTTACGAGATCCTTTGGAGGAATGTCTACATTTTGACAGATTTACAAACATTGTAAAGTTAACCGAACCAATTTTCTAATTGAATAAACTCACTCAAACTATTGTTATCTTGAATATCCATTCTGACCTAAATAATAATCGTTCTTTACTCTAACGCCTTCTTCCATCCTATCTACGTCCTTATAACGAGTAACAACTGACATTTCTCTTTAATAAGGGACGCTCAACGATAAAAATATAGCAAATCAATATCACTCACCAAGCTATAAAAGCTATTAATTCGCTAATCGTTTTGATCTATATACTTTTTAATCTCCGGAGATCATCGATTGTCGTCGATCGGTCGAGTAAACTGTCTCTCGAGTATTAAAATGTGAATGAAACAGATTTTCTACATCAAACTCCATCATTTTCGAGTGGTTTCTTTTTTTTTTATCAGGAGGAGACATTCGCTCCCTCGACGCGACATCACTAAAAAATCTGCCATTTAACACATCCCACTTTGGAAGACGTAATGTTAGGTTGTATATAGGAGAACTTTAACTTAACAACAAAAAAAAAAAAAATTGTCGATTGTTAGATTGGTATTCTTCGTTTTTGGACCCCCCTCTTCAAGTTTCCTACTCTGGCAGTAGTCCAAATGGCGTAGTTTGATCATATCACTTGCCGGAAGAACTAGTGTTAAAAAGTTAGAACTGACAGATGAGTAGTTAAACGCCTTCACTGTCATGTCTTTAAATATCGTGTTTGTACACTTTTGATACTTTCCTACGGTTTAAAAAGTGTTTATTCTTCTCATTTCTACAAAAAATATATGCTTAATGAATCTTACTAATCTAGCAGCTTTATGGATCTCTCGCTTGATATACAACCCTCCTGAATCATAAACACGATAGCTTGGCCAATTCGATTGGGACATAACTTACATAAAAGGCACTGTTTCTTCTAAGAATGTGAATCAACCCCCATAATAAACAGCGAGTATAAGAAGAAGAATGCGAATTGTGTTTAACAGGGAGGAGCCACGTCTATTTATAGAATTTGTAGCAATCTTATCTTATGCACCTCGTAAGAATTCGAGCAAATTGATATAAAAGCCATCATCCAAAGTATTTTTACTCAGAAAGGAGGAAAATTGTATAATCTTTCTTCTTATTATTATTTTAAAAGTAGGCTATTACATTAAATTTAAACTTTTATCGGATGTTTTAAAGTAGAATAATAGAAATCAACAATCCAAACTCATCTGTACGATTAAATATTGATTTACCAACAAAGTCATTGGCTTTATTCTAATATCAATGATTCTTATCTGTCATCAGATTTAAATATATCAAGCGGATTCTAAAAATAGCTGTTTTTTTTTTCTTTTTTTCTTCTTTAAAAACTTTATTATAAACTTACAGCTTCTAACTAGTTGACAGTTTGTTTGGATGATTGCTTCGTGGCAAGGACAGTTAAAGGAACTAAATCAGCAGTTTGGAAGAAGATTCATCTATCTTTATAAATCTGTAATTCTAAGCTAACTTGTCAAAAATTTTTGAACATTTAAACAGATGTTTATAAGAATCTTTCTTGTCGAATGATGCAAGAAAATAAGAATTGATAAAGATTAAACGTTCTTATCTCATTTAAATTTAAAATTATGGCTCCAGAATGTTGGTATTTAAACTTTTCATCTACATTTCTGTATATATATTTTTTCCTAGTTTAAGGGAACTTTAAATAAGTTTTCATCCGAATTTTTGTGTGGGAAATGTAATTAAACTTGCAGAAGTGAAAAATAAATAAAATTTAAACGTTCTTATCTCATCAAAAGCCGGAAAACTGTGCCCAAAATGTTCATCTTTTGTTGAATTCCTTTCTCCACAGTTTGCTATTAGAATGTGCCCGGAGTACTCACATACCTGTCCCCTTCAGGTCGCCATATCTTACTGTACCATCTTTTTTATGTGGCAGTTTGCGAACAGGAGGGATAGAAAAAGAAAAAAAAAAAAATAGGAAAAGTTTTCTTCGATAAAATCGGAAAAAATATCAAATTAAATCATTTCAAACTGTATAAAAGATGTAGACTAAGAAAGGATAAACTCTGCCAAATATTTTTAGTAGGTGGAAATATTTACACATGGTCGACCTTAACGATCTAAATTTAGACAAGTTTGGAAGTTTGTTAATAAGATTTTTACAGAATTAAACGATTATTCTCGCCAACTACGCTCCTTTTTTTTCTTTCCTTCCTCCTATTTAGTTATCTTCTTTAGCCCAGTTTCTTTATAACAAATCGCTTCGCCTCTCGCCTGACACTCTGTGAAGATTCAGAAATATTTTCAGCAGTAGCAGATCAACTTTGCAAATTTTTTCTTCTTGACTAGAATATATATATATATATATATTTCTTTTTTATTTATTTTATTTTCTCTTTAGACTCTAAATGAGCTAGAAAGTACAATATCGAACGAGTTTTACGACGTCGATATATGGCTTCTTTTTAAAAGTTACGACCGAGATTGTGGTTTGATGTTCTTCTATCTGAGAATATAATAAAAATATTTAATATATTTGTTCTTTTATTTTAAAAAAATTCTTATTATTTTATTAAGAAATTTAGTAAAAAAAATGTTAATTTTTTAAGCGTTAAATCGATTTTTTTTCCTGTAACTTTTTGAGCTGTTTTAATCTAGTCAGCGATTTGGCCTGTTTAGATCAATTTCTGTACTGTATATATCGATTTCTGTACTGTATGATCGATTTTTATGCTTAATTATAGTTTATTCAGACTGTATTGTAATCATTTTTATTGTATTTTAGGCCTATATCAAATATATGCGTAAAGCTTACGTTAATAACTATTTACGAGAGAATCTAGTACCGTTACATTGATCAGTTTTTATGATAATTTTGGCCATGAACCTTTACTTAATTAATTTAATTATTAAAAATTAATTATTTAATATTTTTATATCACAATTAAACTTTTTATTAACATTTTTACAGTAATTTATTTATGTTAAAGTCCTTCATAAGTCGATTTTTAAATGTTAAAATGCTTACATCTTTTCACTTATAAAGATAAATTTTTATTATGTTTAATAACCTTTACAGTTTGAATTTCATTCTGTATCTTTGATTTTATGCTATTTACAGTGAAAATAGCTTAAAATCAAAGAGATCCGGTAGAAATTAATTATAACTCCTTTACTAATCTATATCAATATGATTAAAGGCCTGATCTAAATGAATTTTCATTAACTTATAAATAAATAAATACATTTTAATTCTAATTTATAATTCAAAAATCTACTTCTTAATGTAATTTAAGAGCTAATTTATTATAAAAATTAATGCTCAGTCGTTTAACATCCCTTATGATTTCAGTTATTAAATGGTAAATTGAATAAAATCATAACGTTTTATAGTAATTTTAGGGAACATTTAAGCGTGTTAATGCTGAAAATCGGTAGTATTTTGGCAATAAACAATTTATATTGATTAATTTTTTCCATTTACAGATGTAGAAATGAATATAAATTGATCCGCGATTATTCCAACAAGAATAGTTTCCCTAGTTAATAGCATTAAGATCGATTTTCACTCGGCTATTCTACTGTTAGAGAAAGTAAATTGCTAGTTGATATTCTTAGCAAAAGAATTTTGATTAATTTCTATACGTAGGCATACATCTTAAACTTTATAGACTCTATATAAATCGATTTTTTGCAATTGAACGGACGACAAATGATCGTATCTAAATGGATTCTTTGTAAGATTTATGGAAACGAAGCGAAGATAAAACAAAAAAATAAATGCAATTTTAGCAATTGTTAGGTGTAAAAAATTCAAAAAAAAAGAAAACAAAATTTATACGACTCTTTTATATAGTTTAATGATGTTTGTACATTAGGAAACGCCAGAAACTAAACTATTCCCAACTTACTACTTTGGCAATGGCTTTAACACGATTGGAGCCTCGTCAGTGTCTACACTCCAGTACTTTGTGTCAATCATTCGAAACTTTCCTCCTAGAAGACGTCCTTGCAAATTAAAAATTACAGCAAAGACTCGTTTTAAAACTTTTATAAAACTTTCTATCCATTAAAAACCCTGTAAATTTACAAAAATACTCTTTAACTTGAAGGATTTCTAGACGTATCGACATCCAAAAATGGCTTCACAATTTTTTTTTTATTATTATTTTTATTTTTAATGGAAAAAGCAAGAATGTCTCATCGTGGAAGATATGCGTCTACCCATTTTTATGCTATTTAATCCTCTAATAGCGTGCACGTGGTTTATTGTTCGTTGTAGCTACACGCACACCACGACCTAAAGCGGGACCACCTGCCTTTTACAGCCTAAGCTATGAATATGGAGTGTATTCATCTAAAAAAAGAATTTAAGGCACGATACGGATAAGGACGTTGAGCAAGATCGTGACATCTGGGCTACTTGTTGCTGGGATGATCCCAATTTGCGGCTAGATATCGACATTTGGCCACCGGTTTTAAGAAGTAGAGAAGAATGCCAAAACGGTTCCATCTGCGGTTTCTCGGCTTAATTTTAATAGTTGCCGTTAAAGTAAGGAGACTTTAGGACAGGATAGTAAAGAAGCCCAACGGGCGGCTTAGTAAAAAAACACAAATTCTCATAAAACGTCCGTCCCGTTTAATAAATATAGCCCCTTGACGTCTTCATTCGACCTATACATGTCAAACTACGTGATATATGTAATAGAGCTAAAACAAGATTAGTTATTATTGCGACTGGATGTCTGTCATTAAGATACATCTGTACATTTTCTCCTTACTATAATGACACACTCCACCTTTGTTCACGTGATGTAGCATTTTTAAATTTTGAGTGCGTGTGGCCCTTTCCCTAGTCTAGGATATGTCAAAATTTGTGTACGCGGCCCAGACCCTCTGAACCTTCAAACAATCGACTCGGCTTTGTCGGGTTTGTAGTTCGGGGACCGGATGCAGCTGGTATGTATTATAAAGAGGGGAGATCTTTCCAAGAAAAGTTAATATTCGTTACCGCAGTACAGGTGTGCTATTTTAAAAAACCTATCTCTATATTAATTTTTAAAGAATAATTCCTTATTTCTATACCTAAATGATTTTTCTATTTTTGTGTATATAATAGTACGTAATCGAGCCTTCCAAATTAAGTAATTTCCCGATTTATTCGGCCCCAATAAGAATGTGTATAATACTTTTATAGGAGGCTCAACCGTCCCCCGACAGGTATGTGCAGTACATTCTTGGAATTCTATAATTATGTTCGGCTTACGTGTGCCATTCTCATTGCTTGCAATCAGTAAAGATTGAATTGGGTCCGTGATCGTAACGATCTGATAGGGTGTTGTGAGCCAACATGTATACTGTCTCGAGACGTCCCCCCACGATTTACAGCCAAATGCACCTGCTCTGGTACTTCACGAAGTACTGCACACGTGACTGACCGAAAGGATAAGAAACTAGGAGAAAGGATCTGATAGCGTGCCGACCAGAAAAAGGGCAAGGTCCATTGAAAAGAACGGAAGTTTATGAACGGCTCAATAGCCACTGACTGACATTCGGTGCATTCCTCTTTACAGAACTTTATCAGCTGATCTGATGCCGTTCGGTATTTTCTCCTAAATTTTCTGCCTCTTCCAATCATTGAACCTACCTAACAGTACTTTCCCACAAACAATCTCACCTCTTGAATATTTTTTAATAAAATTACTGAACTTCTTTTGTTTAATTTTATGAAAATTGAAACAGGTGTCTTATGTCAACAGGTTATCGGAAGAAAGATGTTTCGGGGTGTAGTTCTGCTAGTCGTCTTAGCAGCCTCTTCTATGGCCGAATTGACAGCTGATTCTTATATTGAGATGGCTGGAAATGAAATTTATAGAGATAGAATCAAACAAGAACCGTAAGTTATGATCATTCTGATAAGATTTTAAGTTTATTTATTGCTTTATTTATTTTCTAATGTCGTCTTTTAGATAAATAAAGTATCATTCTTGCTACTTATCACGTTTTAAAGAATTATAACGGAATATATAATGGAAATTTCGTGTGCTTCAGAAGAAATAAAGCAAATCTGTTTTTATTTTTAGTTTTTTTTTCCTTCCTTAATTAAAATGTATAAGCAATTATTTTAGATAATCAATTGATAGATTTGAGGTTCATTCATGTTGCAATTTTAGCTTTTTAAAAAATATTTTAACTTAATTACATTTAATGTTAAGAAGCTAAATCGAGCCGAATCTTTGCTGAATAATCAGTCTTTTTTATCTTAAAAAAATTCAAAAATTCGATCAGCAATTTTACGTAGAAGCAACCTTTACAAATTTCTTCGATAAGTTAAGGCATTAATTAGCATAATTCAAGTTAAAAAATAAAATAAAGATAATTGAAAAATGCCAGTTGAAAGTAATAACATTGATATTTTAGAATTAATTTAAATTAAATTACTGTATTATTTTCTAAATAAAATATTTAATAAAGAGATTATTCAAGATGTGAGCATGTGTGGATCTCTTTCAAGAATATTTATTTCACAAGGAAATCATTGAGAAGTAATTTATTCGTTTTTCGAAGTTGAAAATAAATCTTTAAAAGTCGAATATCTTCTTCATTTAGTTCTTCAAAATTATTTTTAATTTTAACCGGCAAAGATTTGTTGTTATGCCTCAAAGTTATCAATTTTGGTTCTAACTCTGGTGGAGTTCGTTCATCGAAGATGAGTAAAGGATGACTTACAACATTATTTTCTGTTGATTCTTTTATATCTCGTACCATTTGTCTTTCTGTAGTCAACCTTACACGTTCGCATTTTTCTTCCTTTTCGGATTTAAGAGATATTTCGGATAGAAAGGGTTTTTCCACGGGTCGATACCTCCAGTAGAACTGACGTAAGACGTTACAAATCGTGATAGAAAGTACAAATCCTAAGACTGTCATCGAAATTAATAATGCTATATTCTGCTTTTTCTTCTTCTTTTTATTTACGTTTGACGTTTCTAAGCTAAATTTTGAAGTCGATTTTAATTTAATCATTTTTCTTATCTCTTTGCTAATTGGATCTTTGTATTTTTCCAGCTTATGGTTTTTCCTTAAATTAAATCCAAACTGTTCCTCTTTTGACTGTCCAGATGCTCTAATCACCTGGTTATAAATGGTTTTCTGATTCTTCCTATGCAAATCTGAATTCCCGAATTTGTTAATCACACGATTTTCTCGCTGTAGTAAGAAAACCATTCGAGTTGTAGACCTTTGCAAATCTGTTACTCCACTTTCTATAGGAAAATATTGGTATGCAATTCCTAAATTACGAAATAGAAAATGGTTAAACTCGTAGTTATTTGAAGATCGTTTTGTGCTCCAGTGAGTTTTCTTAATTGGATTTCTTCTGTTTCTGTATAAACTATTTTGCACTGGAACCAAAGTGTTTTTGCTATCCTCATTAAAATAGTTAGATGAATCGCCAAACCTCATTATGTTGTCTCTTAACAAAAAAATTGTTGAAATCTTTCCAAAATATAAAAAGATTGTGAAAATTAAACAAATCATAGTGGAATCGAATGGAAATGAATTAACAATAAAATTATTTTATACGTATTTTCGATTCATTGTTGAGATTTTTCGTGATTATTTACGAAGTTTTTTTCGATTCTGTTATTGTTTTCGAAAATAAATGAGTTGTTAATATTTACAGAAAGACTTTTTCTTATTTACACGATTTTACAATTAAAAGTTCATCGCGTGCAATGTGGTACATTCTCATCTAAAGACCACCCATACGAAGGTCAAAAGAGGAGGATTTCGAAAAAAAAAATGCAGAGGTTATATGTTAAAAAAATCTGAAAACCTTTATAAATGACACTCTTGCTTCGTGTTTTATTGCTTCCGTGGTGTTTTCCGTATATCCTGCGCGTAAACATCCTATTGTCTCACCACTTATTGATGCTCCAAAAATTGATGGGAAGTATAATTATTGGGTTGAGTTTTACACCATGGTGTAGTCACGTTGGACGTGGTCGGTAACTCGCTAATTGCAAATAACTAGTGGCATAAATCACCATCTTGGCGCTAAAAAAAATCATTCTAGAATAGATATTCCCGAAGGCACATCCTGTTCACTACTATTTATCTGTCATCGGAAGGATCTTCTCACTCCTGGATTCAACTTGATTGAATTTCATGAGCACTTCCGAATATCTTTACCTGTTTAGTATTTAGTAACTCTTAATTTACGCTTTAGATTTTGGTTTTATTTTTATTTTTCTTGCAAGTTTTTGTGTTATTTTATGCTGCAAGAACCATTACTTTGCGTGAGGAATATTCGATAGGAATAACAAATATTGATCTTTTGAAAAATTCAAATATATATTTAGATTTCAAGTGAAAATGAACTTTTAAAACGATGGTTTGTTTACGCTTTCGTGTAATTTATACAGCAGTATCGATTTTGTTTGTACAACTGTATTAACCTTTACCACACTTTTTCCACCTTATCCATCCATCAATACCTTTTAATTCTTTTATTTATTATAACTAATAGGAGTTTTATTGCCAAATTTTTAAATATTCATCTANAATAGATTTATGATAAAACAAAACAAAGCTTCCAACAAATAAATGTGCATTCTATAAATAGCAGTTTCAAGTTCTTTAATATATTCTGAAGTTTGAATCTATTTTTACTAAATATTGATATTTCTATCCCTGAAGATAAGTTATAATACTTGAAAGTGCCAGGATTACAAAATGCACTTTTATTTATTGATAGTTTTAATAATGGTTTTTGTTTACTCCTAAGAGTAATTGGAGCTTGAATTATGATTTTTCAAATTATAAGTTTTTGAGAAGTTAGAAGTTTGCTTTAATAGAATTTATATTAATTAAGTAAATTAATAGGCTTATTATATATTATTTTATTTGCAGATACCACCAACAAGTACTGTAGGTCAGTACAAACTAAGGATAGAAGGTAACGTAAACGGTGTTCTTGGAGGTACTGCATTTGCTAATGAAACTTTTTTGGAATTCTCACAACGTTCTATGACAATCTTTATACAAACAGATAAGCCCATTTATCAACAAGGACAGCTAGGTATTGCTTTAAAAAGAAAACAAACCAATTGACTACTGATGTATTATCATTAATAAATATTAAAATCTTTTAGTTCGATTTAGAGCTATTCCTATTGCTACAAACTTAAAAGCATTTTCTGATGCGGTAGATGTGTATATGCTAGATCCACATGGAACTGTGATGAAGAGATGGCTGTCTCGTCAAACAAATTTAGGTAGTTTATCAAAAATAGTTTTTAAAATAATAAATTAAATATTTAATATTATTCATCATATAATCTTGTGCAAAACTTTTAGGTGCTGTTAGTTTAGAATATACACTTTCCCAACAACCAGTGTATGGTAATTGGTCAATTAGAGTCCTTTAAAAATAAAATATATTTAAAACTTTAAATAAAGTATTGATGTATTTATTAATTTTTCAGAACTTATTTTGTGCTTGCATCAAAAATTGTACGTCCTGGTCAAATATTTCGTGTAGTAGTCATTATATATAGCTCAACAAATCCCATGACTGTTCGTGCTTCTATTCATCGTGATGGTGTCGAACTTGCCTCATCGTCTCAGGAATGTAAACTGAAAACCCCCGAAACATTATTATTAAAGGTAAAATTTACCACTTTTTTTTCAAAACTGTAATAAAATAAACTTATATCAGATTTAAGAAAGACTTGCCTTATCAATTTTATGACTGAAATGCATGACTTTGGCAGGAACTCAGATTACATTTTCGTATAAAGTTTTACGATAGATGGATGTCCTATGTAGCAACTTAAATGTAAATTTTTCTTTTTTATGGAACATTTCTAGATTGATGCTCTCAGTCCTCAAAATTGAGAATTATCAGATCATTTTACAAAAGTTCAGGAAAGAATTTATATGGGATAAGTTTGTATTTTCTAAGAGAAAAAAAACAACATACAGTATATTATTTTCAACTATTCCTTAAACATACACAATCATTAACAACATTTATTTAAATAGATATTTTTTTATATTATTCAAGAAATCTGTTTTCTTTAAAACACATTTTAACCAGCACAATTGCTACATTGAAATGTTTTTTCTATATATAATTTTTTCATGTACTTATCCAAGCAACTGAAATTAGTATTGTTATTATTAATGTGGTCATATAATTTGTGCTACTTATCTATCATACTACGACAAAATATATTTTACTATTTATTCATTAAATTTTAAATTATTTCTTTATTGTCATTCTTTTCCTGACTTTCATAAACATGAAAAATTAATTTTCCACTTTTAGGTTTATGTAAAATTGTGCATATTTAATAATTTAATATGAAGTTTATTAGTTAATTTTGATTATGTCCAAGAATATGAGTGACAATATTAGATTCCTTGTGTTATGAAAGATTTCATTAGTATGAAATTAGGGATGGTCCAATGATAGAAGCAGTTAAAGTGTCAACTTGCCACTGGGGGAATTGAATACAGGTTAACAGCAGTATGTATTTTTCATGGGCAGTCTGTCTTGAATATATTATCCCCATTTTCAACATATCACTTCACTCTAATGAAGTGATATGTTGAAAATGGGGCTAATATATTCAAGACACACTATGGAAAAAAGCTTCTAGTGCCCACAGAGCAGAAAGAGCAAAAATGAAAAAAAAAATATGATTAGGAAATAAATTTAATACTTTTATTATGTACTGTATTTAAAAATCAATGTGAAAACTTGTTACAATTATAGAGCCAATACGATAATTCACTAATAGAAACCATATTGTTGGCTTTAAACGTAAACTTTACTGTTGGCCATAAAACTNAATTTTGTATAGTTTTAGAAAAGCTATTTTTCGCAAAAAATTCCTAAAACACTTAAACAGAAGAGATTTGTTTTAAGAAAAAAGTTAATTTATTCTAAGGTAAACGTCTGATAATTTAAATATGGAAATCATTTAGTTCCTTATTCAGAGTATCTTATTCAGTTTTATTTAGTTCTTCATTTCTCTTTATTTATTAACAGATAAAAATAATAATTCAAACACTTTAAAATGCCACTTTCAGAGTATTATTATTTTTATTTTTAATGGAAAAAGCAAGAATGTCTCATCGTGGAAGATATGCGTCTACCCATTTTTATGCTATTTAATCCTCTAATAGCGTGCACGTGGTTTATTGTTCGTTGTAGCTACACGCACACCACGACCTAAAGCGGGACCACCTGCCTTTTACAGCCTAAGCTATGAATATGGAGTGTATTCATCTAAAAAAAGAATTTAAGGCACGATACGGATAAGGACGTTGAGCAAGATCGTGACATCTGGGCTACTTGTTGCTGGGATGATCCCAATTTGCGGCTAGATATCGACATTTGGCCACCGGTTTTAAGAAGTAGAGAAGAATGCCAAAACGGTTCCATCTGCGGTTTCTCGGCTTAATTTTAATAGTTGCCGTTAAAGTAAGGAGACTTTAGGACAGGATAGTAAAGAAGCCCAACGGGCGGCTTAGTAAAAAAACACAAATTCTCATAAAACGTCCGTCCCGTTTAATAAATATAGCCCCTTGACGTCTTCATTCGACCTATACATGTCAAACTACGTGATATATGTAATAGAGCTAAAACAAGATTAGTTATTATTGCGACTGGATGTCTGTCATTAAGATACATCTGTACATTTTCTCCTTACTATAATGACACACTCCACCTTTGTTCACGTGATGTAGCATTTTTAAATTTTGAGTGCGTGTGGCCCTTTCCCTAGTCTAGGATATGTCAAAATTTGTGTACGCGGCCCAGACCCTCTGAACCTTCAAACAATCGACTCGGCTTTGTCGGGTTTGTAGTTCGGGGACCGGATGCAGCTGGTATGTATTATAAAGAGGGGAGATCTTTCCAAGAAAAGTTAATATTCGTTACCGCAGTACAGGTGTGCTATTTTAAAAAACCTATCTCTATATTAATTTTTAAAGAATAATTCCTTATTTCTAGACCTAAATGATTTTTCTATTTTTGTGTATATAATAGTACGTAATCGAGCCTTCCAAATTAAGTAATTTTCCGATTTATTCGGCCCCAATAAGAATGTGTATAATACTTTTATAGGAGGCTCAACCGTCCCCCGACAGGTATGTGCAGTACATTCTTGGAATTCTATAATTATGTTCGGCTTACGTGTGCCATTCTCATTGCTTGCAATCAGTAAAGATTGAATTGGGTCCGTGATCGTAATGATCTGATAGGGTGTTGTGAGCCAACATGTATACTGTCTCGAGACGTCCCCCCACGATTTACAGCCAAATGCACCTGCTCTGGTACTTCACGAAGTACTGCACACGTGACTGACCGAAAGGATAAGAAACTAGGAGAAAGGATCTGATAGCGTGCCGACCAGAAAAAGGGCAAGGTCCATTGAAAAGAACGGAAGTTTATGAACGGCTCAATAGCCACTGACTGACATTCGGTGCATTCCTCTTTACAGAACTTTATCAGCTGATCTGATGCCGTTCGGTATTTTCTCCTAAATTTTCTGCCTCTTCCAATCATTGAACCTACCTAACAGTACTTTCCCACAAACAATCTCACCTCTTGAATATTTTTTAATAAAATTACTGAACTTCTTTTGTTTAATTTTATGAAAATTGAAACAGGTGTCTTATGTCAACAGGTTATCGGAAGAAAGATGTTTCGGGGTGTAGTTCTGCTAGTCGTCTTAGCAGCCTCTTCTATGGCCGAATTGACAGCTGATTCTTATATTGAGATGGCTGGAAATGAAATTTATAGAGATAGAATCAAACAAGAACCGTAAGTTATGATCATTCTGATAAGATTTTAAGTTTATTTATTGCTTTATTTATTTTCTAATGTCGTCTTTTAGATAAATAAAGTATCATTCTTGCTACTTATCACGTTTTAAAGAATTATAACGGAATATATAATGGAAATTTCGTGTGCTTCAGAAGAAATAAAGCAAATCTGTTTTTATTTTTAGTTTTTTTTTCCTTCCTTAATTAAAATGTATAAGCAATTATTTTAGATAATCAATTGATAGATTTGAGGTTCATTCATGTTGCAATTTTAGCTTTTTAAAAAATATTTTAACTTAATTACATTTAATGTTAAGAAGCTAAATCGAGCCGAATCTTTGCTGAATAATCAGTCTTTTTTATCTTAAAAAAATTCAAAAATTCGATCAGCAATTTTACGTAGAAGCAACCTTTACAAATTTCTTCGATAAGTTAAGGCATTAATTAGCATAATTCAAGTTAAAAAATAAAATAAAGATAATTGAAAAATGCCAGTTGAAAGTAATAACATTGATATTTTAGAATTAATTTAAATTAAATTACTGTATTATTTTCTAAATAAAATATTTAATAAAGAGATTATTCAAGATGTGAGCATGTGTGGATCTCTTTCAAGAATATTTATTTCACAAGGAAATCATTGAGAAGTAATTTATTCGTTTTTCGAAGTTGAAAATAAATCTTTAAAAGTCGAATATCTTCTTCATTTAGTTCTTCAAAATTATTTTTAATTTTAACCGGCAAAGATTTGTTGTTATGCCTCAAAGTTATCAATTTTGGTTCTAACTCTGGTGGAGTTCGTTCATCGAAGATGAGTAAAGGATGACTTACAACATTATTTTCTGTTGATTCTTTTATATCTCGTACCATTTGTCTTTCTGTAGTCAACCTTACACGTTCGCATTTTTCTTCCTTTTCGGATTTAAGAGATATTTCGGATAGAAAGGGTTTTTCCACGGGTCGATACCTCCAGTAGAACTGACGTAAGACGTTACAAATCGTGATAGAAAGTACAAATCCTAAGACTGTCATCGAAATTAATAATGCTATATTCTGCTTTTTCTTCTTCTTTTTATTTACGTTTGACGTTTCTAAGCTAAATTTTGAAGTCGATTTTAATTTAATCATTTTTCTTATCTCTTTGCTAATTGGATCTTTGTATTTTTCCAGCTTATGGTTTTTCCTTAAATTAAATCCAAACTGTTCCTCTTTTGACTGTCCAGATGCTCTAATCACCTGGTTATAAATGGTTTTCTGATTCTTCCTATGCAAATCTGAATTCCCGAATTTGTTAATCACATGATTTTCTCGCTGTAGTAAGAAAACCATTCGAGTTGTAGACCTTTGCAAATCTGTTACTCCACTTTCTATAGGAAAATATTGGTATGCAATTCCTAAATTAGGAAATAGAAAATGGTTAAACTCGTAGTTATTTGAAGATCGTTTTGTGCTCCAGTGAGTTTTCTTAATTGGATTTCTTCTGTTTCTGTATAAACTATTTTGCACTGGAACCAAAGTGTTTTTGCTATCCTCATTAAAATAGTTAGATGAATCGCCAAACCTCATTATGTTGTCTCTTAACAAAAAAATTGTTGAAATCTTTCCAAAATATAAAAAGATTGTGAAAATTAAACAAATCATAGTGGAATCGAATGGAAATGAATTAACAATAAAATTATTTTATACGTATTTTCGATTCATTGTTGAGATTTTTCGTGATTATTTACGAAGTTTTTTTCGATTCTGTTATTGTTTTCGAAAATAAATGAGTTGTTAATATTTACAGAAAGACTTTTTCTTATTTACACGATTTTACAATTAAAAGTTCATCGCGTGCAATGTGGTACATTCTCATCTAAAGACCACCCATACGAAGGTCAAAAGAGGAGGATTTCGAAAAAAAAAATGCAGAGGTTATATGTTAAAAAAATCTGAAAACCTTTATAAATGACACTCTTGCTTCGTGTTTTATTGCTTCCGTGGTGTTTTCCGTATATCCTGCGCGTAAACATCCTATTGTCTCACCACTTATTGATGCTCCAAAAATTGATGGGAAGTATAATTATTGGGTTGAGTTTTACACCATGGTGTAGTCACGTTGGACGTGGTCGGTAACTCGCTAATTGCAAATAACTAGTGGCATAAATCACCATCTTGGCGCTAAAAAAAATCATTCTAGAATAGATATTCCCGAAGGCACATCCTGTTCACTACTATTTATCTGTCATCGGAAGGATCTTCTCACTCCTGGATTCAACTTGATTGAATTTCATGAGCACTTCCGAATATCTTTACCTGTTTAGTATTTAGTAACTCTTAATTTACGCTTTAGATTTTGGTTTTATTTTTATTTTTCTTGCAAGTTTTTGTGTTATTTTATGCTGCAAGAACCATTACTTTGCGTGAGGAATATTCGATAGGAATAACAAATATTGATCTTTTGAAAAATTCAAATATATATTTAGATTTCAAGTGAAAATGAACTTTTAAAACGATGGTTTGTTTACGCTTTCGTGTAATTTATACAGCAGTATCGATTTTGTTTGTACAACTGTATTAACCTTTACCACACTTTTTCCACCTTATCCATCCATCAATACCTTTTAATTCTTTTATTTATTATAACTAATAGGAGTTTTATTGCCAAATTTTTAAATATTCATCTATTAGAAGGTGACTTTTAACTTTTTTTTTAGGTTTGAAAGTCACTTTCTAATTTAATTTAGCTTAGAACTTCTCGAAAAAAATTTTAAAAAAACGATCCATTTTGATTTGAATGTTACTCGACGCAAATGGCATAAAGATTATATTTGAGAATAAATAAAAACGTTTGCTTACATGAAATAAATGATTATTTCCCTTAATTTAGTACTTATTTAAGGTCTTAAAAGTATCATAATTTGAGCGTTTTATATTAATTTTATTATGAGAACAAGCAACTGCTAATGCAAACTTTACAGGAAGAGTAATTGAGATCTTAATGTATTTTTTGGAATTATATAGGTCGAATAAGGAATTTTAGTTTGATAAATGACACACGATATCTTTCGTGAGCTGCAAAAATATTAGTTTACGTTTTAGCACGCACATTTTTCTCATACCTCATATTTCAGTCGTGTATTCTTACAAAAATCCGGATTCGAGTTTGTGAAAGTCAGTAACTGGTTAGTGAAAATTGATTTTTCCCCCCTCATAACATTAAATAGAATATAGAATAGAAAATATATAAAAGATTATTATATATACATCCATTGTATAATAATGAATATAAATAAAGGCTTTATATTATGCAAGGTTAAATATAGAGATCTGTATGATTTTAAGTTAAAAAAGGAGAAGGTTCGTGAAGAGGAGACTACCTGAAACTCAATGACGATTGCAATGGGATTTATCGCATTAGAAGGGGAAAAAATCTCCACACTGAGACAGGAAACTGATCAAAGCAAAGGACAGATGGCTCAATGTTACTCACTGTGCCATGCAGTTGAGAGTGACAAGTTTCAATTAAGCGGAACGTTCTTCACGTCTCCAACGAAAGTTTTGTTGGATTATGCACCAAATATGATTGATTTCTCGCTTCGTTTAGCTACTAGAATAGAGAATAATCGCGGATAGTTTTATAAATATAAATTTCTCAGTTTTTTAAATGAAATTCAAAATTAATAATTAAAAATTCAATTCGCTATTATAATTCTTCGCAAAGAATTAAATCAAATATTCATTTTATTATCCGAAATTTTTGTTAACATTAATTATAAACAGAACAAATAGGCTATTTTCTGTCTTAAAATCAAATTAATAAGATTTGTAGATATACAAGAAATTACATTATTATTCAGAAATATCTACAAATATCTATACTTATCATGAAAATCCTTCACGTATTTATAATCTTGAATAAAAGTTTTCAAATGGTTTGAATATTTAATGATATATCCGGAGGCGGATCGTGTTTTTTAGGGGGCCTGGAGCTAAAAGTAATTTGGGGCCCCAATCAGAAAAGGTCTGGTTTACTCTTAAAAACATTTGCTAATAATTTATATAGTATAAAGTTTATTAATGAAATCTACATATAAGAAATAATAATAATTTTTTGTCACGAGGAATCTCTATTTGCCTTATTACAGTCTGCTGCTGGATATATTCATAACGGTTAGATCTAACATGTGCATTTCTTTTAGAAATTTGAAAACGATTTTTATAGAGTAGACCCACGTTGGATGTCTTATGCTAATTCTAAAGCTGAATAATTTTTATCTCATCCCTAAAATCTTGAAATATAGCATTTTTACTGCCTCGTAAATAGAATTATTGTATGCCATTACATAGAGTATAGTTAAAGTGACCAGACAACTTCTTTTGAAGATGACAATCTTCTTTCTGTCTTTTCTTCTCGTCTGTTTCCTCATTTGTAAATGTTTTTATTCCCGTTTCAAAGTAATTTTAAAGAATTTAAATCAAGAAAGAAATAAACTAACAACTCTTCCGCATTTTGTTACTTTAATAACGTTTTAATTGAAACTGCAGAGGTGTGAAGCAATAACTGCAACATGGATAAATTCTTCTTAAAATTGTTTTAGTTTTATTTCAAACTTATCATTAAAAAGAAAATTAATTAGCATTAATAAATTTAAAATAATAAAAAAATTAATAATTCATAACTAATTAATAGTGTTAATAAAAAATAAATAAATGAAAGATTTTTTGATTTTTTTGAGTCGAAAAAAATCTATCTTAATTAATCAAATGGAATTATTTATTGATTTTTATGTGTTAATTGTCATATTTTAAACGATAAAAAATATTTAGGACGCTTAAAACTAGAATAAAAGTAGAACAGAGTATCTATTGTTACTAATAAAATATTTATATTTATATATATATAGGCCTTATATTTTTTATTCAAATTCAGTATTTAAGTCATAGAAAACTTTAAAAGTTGTTTTATATAAGTAGAGTGCATTGAAACATTTAAAACATTAAAAAATCTAAGTCCTTTGGTAGAGAAGGATCACAAGAAATGCCAATCGCTGTGTGTCAGGTCGTGTCTGCCAATTCCAATCAAAATGTCATCAATTTTATACTTAAGAACTGCTGAAGATAAATTATCCGAGTTTTACAATTTACGTCCACTAAAATTTTCCGTCTAATATTTTATAACAATGTGTAATACCGTTTAGATAAAAGGTTTCCAACCTTTTTCCTTGTCGACCCCTTTCCAAAATTAGATTTAATTCGTCGACCGCTTTCTATACTCATACAAAACATGCAGTACCGTGGCCCACTAGTCACGTGAAACACATACCGGGCCCTAGGTCTCGGGGCTCAGAAATTGAAGAAAAAAATAAAGCAATTTTATCATTGCTGATATATTATAATTTATAAATAATTCTACAGCTACAGTTAAAGTTATTAGTTTATGATGCCTAAAAATTATTTACGGGGGTCCCAAAAGTTTTAATCCACCACTGAAATATATATAAATTTTCAATTGTTTTGTAAAATCTGTCATTACATACTGGAAATATACTCGAGTCTTTATACGTTTTTATAAACTGGGTGTAGGGGCAAAATATAAGTTATACTATGCTCACCCGTGATAATTAGTGTGGGGCAACTGTATCCAGCTCCGGCGCCACTGATTATTAATTAATAAGTAGTAGTGTATAGTCAAGAACGGATCTACATAGGGACTAATAGGGCTTAAGCACGGGCCCCCAAGTATCAAGGGTCCACATAATTTGAATTATTATCATAAACTTTTAATATTTATACTTTTTCTGATAAAGTTTGTCATTCAACACTATTTCATAAATAAATATACTGTATTTCAACTCTGATTTTAATGTTATTAAAAATTGAATTTTAAATCCCAATTTAAAGATTCTTAATCTAACAAAAAATGGGGCCCCATCGGACTTCCAACAAGCCCTAGGCCCCGAAAAACCTAGATCCGCTCCTGTATATAGTAAATTCGATTTTCGTAATTTTAAAGATCGTTTCGAACACACACTTTGGACCAGTCAGGGCCCCTTGATGTCTAAACATGACAAGAGCCTAGCGACTTTGTTCGTCTCCGTTACAAGTGCCGTTTCCTTTCCGTTGTGAGCTCACGCCTCTGTACTGTACTTCAGTGGAAAACGAACTCTCATCAATATTCCCATCTTTCCTGGTTGAATGGGGCGATATTATGTTTTCATTATAACAACTGAAAATCTCCTCCAGATGGTCTTCGATGATATAGAAAAGAAGTGACGTCAAGCAACACCAGGCCACTTAAAATTAATATACGTGTGTGAAAACTTGTTACAATTATAGAGCCAATACGATAATTCACTAATAGAAACCATATTGTTGGCTTTAAACGTAAACTTTACTGTTGGCCATAAAACTAAATTTCTGTTTTATGGTCAACAAGAAGGTTTCAATCAAGGAACTTGTTTTGAAATGTACAGTTAAAATTACAGAATCTGTTTCTAATTTTTAAAAGATCTATATGTGCCAGTTGTTTATAAGAAACAACCTACTAAATCTTTGTTTATAATGCTTTAAAAATAAAATATATTTAAAACTTTAAATAAAGTATTGATGTATTTATTAATTTTTCAGAACTTATTTTGTGCTTGCATCAAAAATTGTACGTCCTGGTCAAATATTTCGTGTAGTAGTCATTATATATAGCTCAACAAATCCCATGACTGTTCGTGCTTCTATTCATCGTGATGGTGTCGAACTTGCCTCATCGTCTCAGGAATGTAAACTGAAAACCCCCGAAACATTATTATTAAAGGTAAAATTTACCACTTTTTTTTCAAAACTGTAATAAAATAAACTTATATCAGATTTAAGAAAGACTTGCCTTATCAATTTTATGACTGAAATGCATGACTTTGGCAGGAACTCAGATTACATTTTCGTATAAAGTTTTACGATAGATGGATGTCCTATGTAGCAACTTAAATGTAAATTTTTCTTTTTTATGGAACATTTCTAGATTGATGCTCTCAGTCCTCAAAATTGAGAATTATCAGATCATTTTACAAAAGTTCAGGAAAGAATTTATATGGGATAAGTTTGTATTTTCTAAGAGAAAAAAAACAACATACAGTATATTATTTTCAACTATTCCTTAAACATACACAATCATTAACAACATTTATTTAAATAGATATTTTTTTATATTATTCAAGAAATCTGTTTTCTTTAAAACACATTTTAACCAGCACAATTGCTACATTGAAATGTTTTTTCTATATATAATTTTTTCATGTACTTATCCAAGCAACTGAAATTAGTATTGTTATTATTAATGTGGTCATATAATTTGTGCTACTTATCTATCATACTACGACAAAATATATTTTACTATTTATTCATTAAATTTTAAATTATTTCTTTATTGTCATTCTTTTCCTGACTTTCATAAACATGAAAAATTAATTTTCCACTTTTAGGTTTATGTAAAATTGTGCATATTTAATAATTTAATATGAAGTTTATTAGTTAATTTTGATTATGTCCAAGAATATGAGTGACAATATTAGATTCCTTGTGTTATGAAAGATTTCATTAGTATGAAATTAGGGATGGTCCAATGATAGAAGCAGTTAAAGTGTCAACTTGCCACTGGGGGAATTGAATACAGGTTAACAGCAGTATGTATTTTTCATGGGCAGTCTGTCTTGAATATATTATCCCCATTTTCAACATATCACTTCACTCTAATGAAGTGATATGTTGAAAATGGGGCTAATATATTCAAGACACACTATGGAAAAAAGCTTCTAGTGCCCACAGAGCAGAAAGAGCAAAAATGAAAAAAAATATGACATTAGGAAATAAATTTAATACTTTTATTATGTACTGTATTTAAAAATCAATCTTTGTTTGAGATAGTGTTTTATTTGTATATTTAAAAAGTTATTATTACTTGTTAATTTCATTAATTAAACCCAATAAAAAAGCCCAATAATGAATAAATCAAAGTTTTTTTTTTTAATGAGAACAAATATGGAAGATTTTTGACTTTCTCTCTTTTGTTTATAAGTGTAGAGTGTACAGTATAGAAGAATTTTGCTTAACACAATATACCATATTTTTATTTACTATTTTATGTAAATTATCATATCCCATTCAAGTATTTTATTTAAAATACTAATAGATTTATGATAAAACAAAACAAAGCTTCCAACAAATAAATGTGCATTCTATAAATAGCAGTTTCAAGTTCTTTAATATATTCTGAAGTTTGAATCTATTTTTACTAAATATTGATATTTCTATCCCTGAAGATAAGTTATAATACTTGAAAGTGCCAGGATTACAAAATGCACTTTTATTTATTGATAGTTTTAATAATGGTTTTTGTTTACTCCTAAGAGTAATTGGAGCTTGAATTATGATTTTTCAAATTATAAGTTTTTGAGAAGTTAGAAGTTTGCTTTAATAGAATTTATATTAATTAAGTAAATTAATAGGCTTATTATATATTATTTTATTTGCAGATACCACCAACAAGTACTGTAGGTCAGTACAAACTAAGGATAGAAGGTAACGTAAACGGTGTTCTTGGAGGTACTGCATTTGCTAATGAAACTTTTTTGGAATTCTCACAACGTTCTATGACAATCTTTATACAAACAGATAAGCCCATTTATCAACAAGGACAGCTAGGTATTGCTTTAAAAAGAAAACAAACCAATTGACTACTGATGTATTATCATTAATAAATATTAAAATCTTTTAGTTCGATTTAGAGCTATTCCTATTGCTACAAACTTAAAAGCATTTTCTGATGCGGTAGATGTGTATATGCTAGATCCACATGGAACTGTGATGAAGAGATGGCTGTCTCGTCAAACAAATTTAGGTAGTTTATCAAAAATAGTTTTTAAAATAATAAATTAAATATTTAATATTATTCATCATATAATCTTGTGCAAAACTTTTAGGTGCTGTTAGTTTAGAATATACACTTTCCCAACAACCAGTGTATGGTAATTGGTCAATTAGAGTCGTAGCTCAGGTAAACTATTTTCTTTGATAAATTATTATAAATAAATAATTGCCAAACTTTTATTATATATAATTAACTTGTAAATCATAATACATTATATTTACTAAATTCTATAAGTTTGATTATTGTTATTAAATATTTATAATATTTGATTAAATTCCAGGGACAAATAGAAGATAAAACATTTTATGTGGAAGAGTATTGTAAGTCATAAACTTTATTGCATTAATTTTTATAAAGATAATAAAAAATAATATGTAATTATTAAATTTTACAGATCAAACTCCATATGAAGTTAATGTTACTGTATCACCATTTTGTTTGAATAATGATAAATATATTTATGGAAGAGTTGAAGCAAAGTAATTAATTTTTTTTTAAATTAATAAATATAAATTATGTAATATTATAATTAATTTTTTCTTTTAGTTATACAAGTGGAGTTGCTGTAACTGGAAATTTAACAATTAAAATTTTTATTGTTGGTTATGGGTATAAAAAATCTCAATTTGTTACTGAAAAAAAATATAAATATGTAAGTAAATTTTAACATAAACTTTAAATTATCAAATAAATTTAAAAAATTTAATCATATTTTCAAAACAAAGAATAATGAATTTATTGCAATCATATATTATGTTAATATTCTATCTACATCAGTCTTTTTTTCATATATGTATAAAAGATTGATTTTCTATCTTTTTACTTACTTCTAATATTAATAAATGAGCCATTGATTTTGAAAGTGGGGCAAGTCCATCTTATTGCTAGATATTTAATGGTTTGCATTTGAATTAGTTTAAAAATATTCGTAAACAGTAATAGACTTATTTTATATTTTTTTGGTTTTATTTTGTGTAAATTTAATATGCAATAATGGTTATCCGCGTTAGGTGAAAAAAAATCATGATTTTGGTATGTGCCAATGGACTTGCTTCACTTAGAAAAGTAATGATTTGTTGAAAACATTGCTTTTCTTTGAATGGAATATAGTTATAACAACAAGAAATTGAATATTTTATTTATATACTTATTTATTATACTTGCATGTGTATAATTATATTTCTTAGTTTAGATGGTGCAGTTTTTTAAAGTATTCATGATAAATGGGTGGTACCAGTATGTACATAGGGTAATAAATCCATCATATCTTCATATTTTTCTTTAAAGTGGGCTTTCCTCACTTTCAAAATCAACTCACTGTAAATATCATTGACGATATAAATTACTAGTAACAAATTTTTACTGATATTAAAAGATATTTATTTTGAATTGATTAAAAACATGTTAATTTGTAATAAGAATTAGTTTTGACTATTCTTTTCACAAAATGGATTTGGCCCACTTTCAAAATCAATGGCTCAAATAAGTAGGCTTATATAATTGTATGCATTTAACTGATTATTCCATTTATTATCTATATGTATATAAATATATATGAGTCCATTATATTATAAGAGAAAGGTCTGGAAGATTATCTGCTATCTGCTTATATTTATAATAATCAGTATTGAATTTCACATTTATTTTTGGATGAAAGAGAAAAACTATCCATGGAATCATTTTGTTAATATTTTGATCTGTTTATACGTAATAACAATAAAACTTGAAAGATTCATGACATCACATAGATGATGATTACATAATAAATTCTTTTTCAACTGGACTTACTGTATAACACCTCTTAAAATCCCAATAGGGTTCAGTGACAGGTTTCAAGCATTAACAAAGTTATTGGATTCTTCAGCAACACTATTTTAGGTTTTTGCATTCTATAAGTTCCATTCACAGACTGCAAAAACCTGAAACAGGGCTGAAGAGTCCAAAAACTTTTTTCATGCTTGAAATTTGTCACTGGACCCTAGTGAGGTTTTGAGAGGTGTGTTATAATAGTCTCATAAAATCACTCACTTCTTACAAAAGAAAATTAAAAATTAAATAATTGTTCAACTGTTGTTTGTGGAACAAGACAGGGTATATTTTCGTGCTGTAGCATTATTCCACAAACAATAGATCAATATATCAAATAATAAGTAGCAAAATAAATAATTCCTTTCAAACTTTGCTTCAGAATGAATTAATTCAGTTTTTATGTAAAGCTTTTGTGCTTGTTCATTGTTGCCAGCCAGCAATGTTTATGAATACACAAATCAATATAAAGCTGTTAAGCTGGAGTTTAGACTCAATTATCACATTTAATTGTTTAAAACTCAAGGAATGTCAAGCAAAAATTAAGTATTTTAAGCAGTTCAGTTTTGTTTATGCTTGCTTGTAAACAAAACTGAACTGCCATGAATGTTTTGTAACTAAAATCCCAGCTTAAGTCTATAGCAGAGTTTTCCTATGATACAATATTCCTTAAGACATGAGCTGATCAGGATTTCAAGTAGCTTTTGGCATTTAACAACCAACTCAATGTCTACACCAAATTTGGTTTAGATTGGTCAAGCAGTTTCAGAAGAGTTTATTTAAAGCCAATGACATTTGAGTGTAAAGAAATGAGCTGAGTGGACAAAATTGAGTAAACAATTTTAAACAAAAATTAGATCTACTGAATCAATACTTGAAAAACAACATAAAATCAAAACTAATGGAACAGGTTGGAAAAATATTCAAAAAAATTAAAACTTACACAAAACATAAAAAAATATATATAATAATTGACAAACACATTGTTACACTTAAAATCTCATAATTAAAGCAAAAATGATTTAAATAATAAAAAGTTCTATGGATACATAATAACATAATAAATACATAATAAAATTACGTAATTATAACATTTAACAGAACTTAATTAAGTACTGGTCTGTTCTTTGGTTTTGTAACATGCAACAACGGCTAGATCAGACAAGAGGATAAAATCATACTAAGCATATTAATAATGGATGTCATTTATGGACAAAGTTGTCAAGCAGCTGTATAGAACCCAGAGTAGAGTAAGCTCTTTTCACCAATTTTTTTTTTTTTTGAACAAATGAAATACATAGAATGCTTCTTTATTAACAGAATGAAATACATAGAATGTTTAAGAGAAATTTTATATACAGTATAATGTATTTCTGAAGACATTTTCAGATGAAAAATTTACTTAATGAAAATACATCATCTTAACTGCTTCTAAAAATATGTATTAATATATTATTCTTTAATTAAATTACAGTTTGATGGCATGCAAGAGTTCAAAATTCCTATGAATGAATTAAAGTGGAAATTACAGTATTTAGATAAGTCTACAGTTACAGTGGAAGCGCACGTGGGTGAACACTACCTTAATCGAATCGAAGTGGGATTTGCTCAAACAATTATTTTTAACTCTGATGTAGAATTAAAATTTTTAGGATCATCACCACAAGTTTTTAAGCCTGCTATGCCATTCAAAGCATATGTAAATATTTACAATTTTTTGTTTAATATATGTAAATTTATAATTTATAAATAATTCTACAGCTACAGTTAAAGTTATTAGTTTATGATGCCTAAAAATTATTTACGGGGGTCCCAAAAGTTTTAATCCACCACTGAAATATATATAAATTTTCAATTGTTTTGTAAAATCTGTCATTACATACTGGAAATATACTCGAGTCTTTATACGTTTTTATAAACTGGGTGTAGGGGCAAAATATAAGTTATACTATGCTCACCCGTGATAATTAGTGTGGGGCAACTGTATCCAGCTCCGGCGCCACTGATTATTAATTAATAAGTAGTAGTGTATAGTCAAGAACGGATCTACATAGGGACTAATAGGGCTTAAGCACGGGCCCCCAAGTATCAAGGGTCCACATAATTTGAATTATTATCATAAACTTTTAATATTTATACTTTTTCTGATAAAGTTTGTCATTCAACACTATTTCATAAATAAATATACTGTATTTCAACTCTGATTTTAATGTTATTAAAAATTGAATTTTAAATCCCAATTTAAAGATTCTTAATCTAACAAAAAATGGGGCCCCATCGGACTTCCAACAAGCCCTAGGCCCCGAAAAACCTAGATCCGCTCCTGTATATAGTAAATTCGATTTTCGTAATTTTAAAGATCGTTTCGAACACACACTTTGGACCAGTCAGGGCCCCTTGATGTCTAAACATGACAAGAGCCTAGCGACTTTGTTCGTCTCCGTTACAAGTGCCGTTTCCTTTCCGTTGTGAGCTCACGCCTCTGTACTGTACTTCAGTGGAAAACGAACTCTCATCAATATTCCCATCTTTCCTGGTTGAATGGGGCGATATTATGTTTTCATTATAACAACTGAAAATCTCCTCCAGATGGTCTTCGATGATATAGAAAAGAAGTGACGTCAAGCAACACCAGGCCACTTAAAATTAATATACGTGTGTGAAAACTTGTTACAATTATAGAGCCAATACGATAATTCACTAATAGAAACCATATTGTTGGCTTTAAACGTAAACTTTACTGTTGGCCATAAAACTAAATTTCTGTTTTATGGTCAACAAGAAGGTTTCAATCAAGGAACTTGTTTTGAAATGTACAGTTAAAATTACAGAATCTGTTTCTAATTTTTAAAAGATCTATATGTGCCAGTTGTTTATAAGAAACAACCTACTAAATCTTTGTTTATAATGCTTTAAAAATAAAATATATTTAAAACTTTAAATAAAGTATTGATGTATTTATTAATTTTTCAGAACTTATTTTGTGCTTGCATCAAAAATTGTACGTCCTGGTCAAATATTTCGTGTAGTAGTCATTATATATAGCTCAACAAATCCCATGACTGTTCGTGCTTCTATTCATCGTGATGGTGTCGAACTTGCCTCATCGTCTCAGGAATGTAAACTGAAAACCCCCGAAACATTATTATTAAAGGTAAAATTTACCACTTTTTTTTCAAAACTGTAATAAAATAAACTTATATCAGATTTAAGAAAGACTTGCCTTATCAATTTTATGACTGAAATGCATGACTTTGGCAGGAACTCAGATTACATTTTCGTATAAAGTTTTACGATAGATGGATGTCCTATGTAGCAACTTAAATGTAAATTTTTCTTTTTTATGGAACATTTCTAGATTGATGCTCTCAGTCCTCAAAATTGAGAATTATCAGATCATTTTACAAAAGTTCAGGAAAGAATTTATATGGGATAAGTTTGTATTTTCTAAGAGAAAAAAAACAACATACAGTATATTATTTTCAACTATTCCTTAAACATACACAATCATTAACAACATTTATTTAAATAGATATTTTTTTATATTATTCAAGAAATCTGTTTTCTTTAAAACACATTTTAACCAGCACAATTGCTACATTGAAATGTTTTTTCTATATATAATTTTTTCATGTACTTATCCAAGCAACTGAAATTAGTATTGTTATTATTAATGTGGTCATATAATTTGTGCTACTTATCTATCATACTACGACAAAATATATTTTACTATTTATTCATTAAATTTTAAATTATTTCTTTATTGTCATTCTTTTCCTGACTTTCATAAACATGAAAAATTAATTTTCCACTTTTAGGTTTATGTAAAATTGTGCATATTTAATAATTTAATATGAAGTTTATTAGTTAATTTTGATTATGTCCAAGAATATGAGTGACAATATTAGATTCCTTGTGTTATGAAAGATTTCATTAGTATGAAATTAGGGATGGTCCAATGATAGAAGCAGTTAAAGTGTCAACTTGCCACTGGGGGAATTGAATACAGGTTAACAGCAGTATGTATTTTTCATGGGCAGTCTGTCTTGAATATATTATCCCCATTTTCAACATATCACTTCACTCTAATGAAGTGATATGTTGAAAATGGGGCTAATATATTCAAGACACACTATGGAAAAAAGCTTCTAGTGCCCACAGAGCAGAAAGAGCAAAAATGAAAAAAAAAATATGACATTAGGAAATAAATTTAATACTTTTATTATGTACTGTATTTAAAAATCAATCTTTGTTTGAGATAGTGTTTTATTTGTATATTTAAAAAGTTATTATTACTTGTTAATTTCATTAATTAAACCCAATAAAAAAGCCCAATAATGAATAAATCAAAGTTTTTTTTTTTAATGAGAACAAATATGGAAGATTTTTGACTTTCTCTCTTTTGTTTATAAGTGTAGAGTGTACAGTATAGAAGAATTTTGCTTAACACAATATACCATATTTTTATTTACTATTTTATGTAAATTATCATATCCCATTCAAGTATTTTATTTAAAATACTAATAGATTTATGATAAAACAAAACAAAGCTTCCAACAAATAAATGTGCATTCTATAAATAGCAGTTTCAAGTTCTTTAATATATTCTGAAGTTTGAATCTATTTTTACTAAATATTGATATTTCTATCCCTGAAGATAAGTTATAATACTTGAAAGTGCCAGGATTACAAAATGCACTTTTATTTATTGATAGTTTTAATAATGGTTTTTGTTTACTCCTAAGAGTAATTGGAGCTTGAATTATGATTTTTCAAATTATAAGTTTTTGAGAAGTTAGAAGTTTGCTTTAATAGAATTTATATTAATTAAGTAAATTAATAGGCTTATTATATATTATTTTATTTGCAGATACCACCAACAAGTACTGTAGGTCAGTACAAACTAAGGATAGAAGGTAACGTAAACGGTGTTCTTGGAGGTACTGCATTTGCTAATGAAACTTTTTTGGAATTCTCACAACGTTCTATGACAATCTTTATACAAACAGATAAGCCCATTTATCAACAAGGACAGCTAGGTATTGCTTTAAAAAGAAAACAAACCAATTGACTACTGATGTATTATCATTAATAAATATTAAAATCTTTTAGTTCGATTTAGAGCTATTCCTATTGCTACAAACTTAAAAGCATTTTCTGATGCGGTAGATGTGTATATGCTAGATCCACATGGAACTGTGATGAAGAGATGGCTGTCTCGTCAAACAAATTTAGGTAGTTTATCAAAAATAGTTTTTAAAATAATAAATTAAATATTTAATATTATTCATCATATAATCTTGTGCAAAACTTTTAGGTGCTGTTAGTTTAGAATATCCACTTTCCCAACAACCAGTGTATGGTAATTGGTCAATTAGAGTCATAGCTCAGGTAAACTATTTTCTTTGATAAATTAATATAAATAAATAATTGCCAAACTTTTATTATATAATAATTAACTTGTAAATCGTAATACACTATATTTACTAAATTCTATAAGTTTGATTATTGTCATTAAATATTTATAATATGTGATTAAATTCCAGGGACAAATAGAAGATAAAACATTTTATGTGGAAGAGTATTGTAAGTCATAAACTTTATTGCATTAATTTTTATAAAGATAATAAAAAATAATATGTAATTATTAAATTTTACAGATCAAACTCCATATGAAGTTAATGTTACTGTATCACCATTTTGTTTGAATAATGATAAATATATTTATGGAAGAGTTGAAGCAAAGTAATTAATTTTTTTTTAAATTAATAAATATAAATTATGTAATATTATAATTAATTTTTTCTTTTAGTTATACAAGTGGAGTTGCTGTAACTGGAAATTTAACAATTAAAATTTTTATTGTTGGTTATGGGTATAAAAAATCTCAATTTGTTACTGAAAAAAAATATAAATATGTAAGTAAATTTTAACATAAACTTTAAATTATCAAATAAATTTAAAAAATTTAATCATATTTTCAAAACAAAGAATAATGAATTTATTGCAATCATATATTATGTTAATATTCTATCTACATCAGTCTTTTTTTCATATATGTATAAAAGATTGATTTTCTATCTTTTTACTTACTTCTAATATTAATAAATGAGCCATTGATTTTGAAAGTGGGGCAAGTCCATCTTATTGCTAGATATTTAATGGTTTGCATTTGAATTAGTTTAAAAATATTCGTAAACAGTAATAGACTTATTTTATATTTTTTTGGTTTTATTTTGTGTAAATTTAATATGCAATAATGGTTATCCGCGTTAGGTGAAAAAAAATCATGATTTTGGTATGTGCCAATGGACTTGCTTCACTTAGAAAAGTAATGATTTGTTGAAAACATTGCTTTTCTTTGAATGGAATATAGTTATAACAACAAGAAATTGAATATTTTATTTATATACTTATTTATTATACTTGCATGTGTATAATTATATTTCTTAGTTTAGATGGTGCAGTTTTTTAAAGTATTCATGATAAATGGGTGGTACCAGTATGTACATAGGGTAATAAATCCATCATATCTTCATATTTTTCTTTAAAGTGGGCTTTCCTCACTTTCAAAATCAACTCACTGTAAATATCATTGACGATATAAATTACTAGTAACAAATTTTTACTGATATTAAAAGATATTTATTTTGAATTGATTAAAAACATGTTAATTTGTAATAAGAATTAGTTTTGACTATTCTTTTCACAAAATAGATTTGGCCCACTTTCAAAATCAATGGCTCAAATAAGTAGGCCTATATAATTGTATACATTTAACTGATTATTCCATTTATTATCTATATGTATATAAATATATACGAGTCCATTATATTATAAGAGAAAGGTCTGGAAGATTATCTGCTATCTGCTTATATTTATAATAATCAGTATTGAATTTCACATTTATTTTTGGATGAAAGAGAAAAACTATCCATGGAATCATTTTGTTAATATTTTGATCTGCTTATACATAATAACAATAAAACTTGAAAGATTCATGACATCACATAGGTGATGATTACATAATAAAGTCTTTTCCAACTGGACTTACTGTATAACACCTCTTAAAATCCCAATAGGGTTCAGTGACAGGTTTCAAGCATTAACAAAGTTATTGGATTCTTCAGCAGCACTATTTCAGGTTTTTGCATTCTATAAGTTCCATTCACAGACTGCAAAAACCTGAAACAGGGCTGAAGAGTCCAAAAACTTTTTTCATGCTTGAAACTTGTCACTGGACCCTAGTGAGGTTTTGAAAGGTATGTTATAATAGTCTCATAAAATCACTCACTTCTTACAAAAGAAAATTAAAAATTAAATAATTGTTCAACTGTTGTTTGTGGAACAAGACAGGGTATATTTTCGTGCTGTAGCATTATTCCACAAACAATAGATCAATATATCAAATAACAAGTAGCAAAATAAATAATTCCTTTCAAACTTTACTTCAGAATGAATTAATTCAGTTTTTATGTAAAGCTTTTGTGCTTGTTCATTGTTGCCAGCCAGCAATGTTTATGAATACACAAATCAATATAAAGCTGTTAAGCTGGAGTTTAGACTCAATTATCACATTTAATTGTTTAAAACTCAAGGAATGTCAAGCAAAAATTAAGTATTTTAAGCAGTTCAGTTTTGTTTATGCTTGCTTGTAAACAAAACTGAACTGCCATGAATGTTTTGTAACTAAAATCCCAGCTTAAGTCTATAGCAGAGTTTTCCTATGATACAGTATTCCTTAAGGACATGATCTGATCAGGATTTCAAGTAGCTTTTGGCATTTAACAACCAACTCAATGTCTACACCAAATTTGGTTTAGATTGGTCAAGCAGTTTCAGAAGAGTTTATTTAAAGCCAATGACATTTGAGTATAAAGAAATGAGCTGAGTGGACAAAATTGAGTAAACAATGTTAAACAAAAATTAGATCTACTGAACCAATACTTGAAAAACAACATAAAATCAAAACTGATGGAACAGGTTGGAAAAATATTCAAAAAAATTAAAACATACACAAAACATAAAAAAATATATATAATAATTGACAAACACATTGTTACACTTAAAATCTCATAATTAAAGCAAAAATGATTTAAATAATAAAAAGTTCTATGGATACATAATAACATAATAAATACATAATAAAATTACGTAATTATAACATTTAACAGAACTTAATTAAGTACTGGTCTGTTCTTTGGTTTTGTAACATGCAACAACGGCTAGATCAGACAAGAGGATAAAATCATACTAAGCATATTAAAAATGGATGTCATTTATGGACAAAGTTGTCAAGCAGCTGTATAGAACCCAGAGTAGAGTAAGCTCTTTTCACCAATTTTTTTTTTTTTTGAACAAATGAAATACATAGAATGCTTCTTTATTAACAGAATGAAATACATAGAATGTTTAAGAGAAATTTTATATACAGTATAATGTATTTCTGAAGACATTTTCAGATGAAAAATTTACTTAATGAAAATACATCATCTTAACTGCTTCTAAAAATATGTATTAATATATTATTCTTTAATTAAATTACAGTTTGATGGCATGCAAGAGTTCAAAATTCCTATGAATGAATTAAAGTGGAAATTACAGTATTTAGATAAGTCTACAGTTACAGTGGAAGCGCACGTGGGTGAACACTACCTTAATCGAATCGAAGTGGGATTTGCTCAAACAATTATTTTTAACTCTGATGTAGAATTAAAATTTTTAGGATCATCACCACAAGTTTTTAAGCCTGCTATGCCATTCAAAGCATATGTAAATATTTACAATTTTTTGTTTAATATATGTAAATTTATAATTTATAAATTTAATTTTTACTTTATAATTTTTGAAAAGTATATTTTTTAGCAAACAACTATTTTTTTTAATTATTACAAATGTTATTAAAGCTTGCAGTTTCCTTTCATGATGGTTCTGCTCTTCCCCCTTGGAGACTAGCTAACAGACAATTGGAAATTAAAACATTGGTTACATTTAAAAATAGTGATATTAAAGATCTTAATACTCATCAAGAACAAATGTTGCCTACTCAACCAGGAATATGGCAAGTTAATATTGATCTTCATACACAACTGAAAGGAAAAAACTTAAATAATGTATATGCTGTACATTTAGAGGTAAATTTAATATATAAACTGATAAAAAATTACATAAGATTTATCTTAATTCATCATTATAATTTTTTCAAATAGGCTTATTATCAAGATGATACTGGAGAAACAGCTAAAGCAAATCTTCTTATGTATGCATCATATTCTCCTACAAATCATCGTATTCATGTTTCAACAAGCACTAAACATCCAAAGGTAAGAACAGTTTTGAATATGATACATAAATCTGTGCTTTAATTGATTTTATTGAAACAGTGGATATTTGTTTCTTACAAAGGAAAATGCTAATTACCTATCTAATGATAAGATTAAATATAAACATTTGTGAATTATCAATAACATAATTTAGCTATAAAAAACATGTTTAAAATTATCCATTCTTTTAATAAGAATTTAAATTTTCCAAGAATGATGTTTTAATTCAAAGTTATAAGATATCTCACTTTTTTAACTTATTTACATAAAAAAAACTCCAGTTTATACTTATAACAAACCTGTAATTTTACTTAAAATTTTTATTGTAAAAGGTGGATATATAATCCAAAAACATTAGATTCTTTTGTAATAAGTTTTATATTTAAGCATAAATAAATTAGTGATTTTTTTTGTTTCCCTAAATGATTGTACTTTTTAATATGGGACATGATCCCGAAAGTAAGATACAACCTTTAATAATAACTTAATCAGTGGTGGCCAGTCCATGGAAGCTGTGGAAGTAACGCTCCCCTTGTATTTTCTAAGATATAAATACATATTGTGCGATTATTTTAATGTACTTTGAATTAATTAAAATTAATATTTTATTATAACCGCATTATGTATCTTATTACAAATTTCTGTGAGAAACATGTGAGAAAAATGATAAGATCTCAATAATTCAAATATATTTCTATTTGCTATCTATTTTTTCTATTTATACAGTTGAATCTTTTTAATTTGAACCAAGGAAAACCAAAAAAAATTCAAAATATCAAAAATTCAAATTGGTTGTTTTTGAAAATTAAGCTTTTTTGCAAATTTTCAATGTTTTACAGTATTTCATATTTTTTCATACCATCACATTTTCTCTTTATCTTCTTTTCCTTTCATTTAATCACTTCATCTTTTTAAAGAAAAGATAAATTCAATGATTGGATATCATAAAAACATAGCTAAACATCACTGCTATCTAGACTCAAATAACACAAAGCTGTGAAATATGACAGTTTTATCCATACCCATGGGGTTCACAGAATACATGCATTTCAGAGAGTCTTGAAGCACACATCCTATTCAGAGTGTCTTGAAGCACAGTTAGCTACATCCTTCTTACCCTTTTAAAGTTTTATTTTTTAAATACAAGATATGCTAGATTCAAATTACCCAAATTTATATTTAAAAATTTTTGAA